ATAGTTTCCTTGCCTCAATTTTGTTTAGCAGTCTTTTGGGGGATTCCTCCTGTCATTTCAACTGGGGGGTTGTTTCTTTGTCTCTCTGTTTTAGTTGACTCTTCTTGTTTCTACATATTAGATTGATCTGCTTTGACTGCCTGTCTTCATGGTATAACCCTCTGTAGTAGGAGACCTGTGGAACTCAGTTGTGCAGTCTCCTCAATCTCCTGAGCTGATGTTCTTGTGCTGCCCTTTATTCCGTTTATGTGAACTCGCTGTTTGTAATTGGGTTTTGGTTGTTGTTGGATCATTCTTTGGTGGGTCCATCCCTCCAGCTGGCTGACTGAGAATCACTCTGTCCACCATGTCTTGTATACTGTGTACAGGTGCTGTCAAAACAATGCCAAACAGCCCAGGAAACAAATCACAACCACAAAAACAATCCCTACCCACAACCACACTATCAATATCAAATGAGCCAACATTAATAAAGGTGTAAAGAGATTAAGACTATTGTAAGAAAGGAAAATGAATATGAGATGATTAACTGAAAGAAAAGTGATTTTGTGAGAGGAGAGGGGAGAGTAATAGTAAGAGTAGGGAATATAGACAAGGTGAAGAGAGAAAGGAAATAAAATTTGTGTCATAAATAAAAAAGTGAGCAGGAAAGGTGGAATGGAGTAAGAGAAAGGAAGTGTATAGTATTAGGTTTTAGGTTTAAACCAAAATTTATTTATATATTTATATATATATATATATATATGTAATTTATATATATGCATGTGTGTGTGTGTTGTGTATATATTGAGAGAAAGGAAGGAAGGAAGGAAGGGAGGGAGGGAGGAAGGAAGGAAGGAAGATAGAATAAAATAAAAGGGACATAATTAGAGAAAAAGATCCACTACAGGAATATCAACTACAAAGGAGCTAAGATTTATATGGGTGGGATGGGAGTAAGAGGGGAAAAAAGAAAGAAAAGCTTAAGAAATGTTTAGAGTAAGGAGACGTTATTTTGAGAGGATAGAGGGAGAAGGAATACTAAGAATAAGGGAAATACTAAGAATTAGGAATACTAAGACAAGGAAAAATTAACATTTAACACAAAACCAAAAATAAAACAAAGCAGGAGGAAGGCAAAATGGAGTAGGAGAGGGAAATGGTAAAATTTGAGAAATCTCAAATTTTGAGAAATACAAAAATAATGACTATTTAGAAATAAGATTGAAATAATACAACAACCACCACCTACCTACAACCAATAAGCAAAGATTGATAAAGGTGGAGAAAAGATAAGGGTGTTTTGTAAGATCAGGAAAAAGAGTGTGAGATGACTGATGGCAATCACAAATGGTTTTGAGAGTCTGGAGGAGAGAGAAATAGAGTATGAAATAGAAACAAGTCATAGCAAGAGAGAAAATAGAATTGAAAACAAAAATAAGAGGAGGAAGGAAGAAGGGAAAATGGAGTTAAAGAAGGGAAGACAAAATACAAGATTTGAAATGAAGTATAATATAAAACCTGATGACATATTAGGGCCAAACTTAAAGGATAAGAAAATGTGAAAAAGTTATGCAGGAGAGAAGATAGTACCTTCTCTATCTCTATAGAGATAGTGTCCTATCTCTATTCTCTCTGCTCTTCCGAGTTTAGTAGATCAGGGCCCAGGGTACTATGTAGTTCACAGTATCTGTCAAAGGGCCCTTTCAGAGCTTTTTCTTCTTTCCCCTGTAGAAATGTACCCAGCAGGAGAATTTTCAGCCTGAACTTGCTGATCTCCCAAGCCTGTAATCCCACAGGTGGGGTTGGACTCACCTGCCTGGGAGAGGATCTGGCTTGCTACAGTAAATCTCAGGCATTCAGCTCCTGCCTTCCAGTCCCAAGCCTGCTGCTCTCTCACAGGAGGTTCAGCCCAAATTCTCCACTCTTGAACAACCCTCTGCTTGCGTACCATGCTGTGTTGGGTCCTACCTTTCCTGCAGTATACTAAATCATCTGAGTTTTTGCTTAGCAGATCTACTGCACCCATGTACACAGGCATGTGAGCCCCAGGTCTCTGTTGAGTTTCTGTGAGGCCCCCACCCTGTAGCACCAGTCCCTGGGGGGCCTGTTCTCCATGCATTTCCCCTCCCCAAAAATCACAGGTTCTCTTATGGTCAGGGCTGGCTACCACCTTTCATAGCCTCGGACAGTTTTAGATAAGTTTCTCTCTGGATCTTTCCCAGATGGCATTGGGAAGAACCTCGCAGCTATACTGTAACACCAGGTGGTGGTGGAATGCTGACTCCACTTCATCCAGAGATCTTCAGCCTTGGGCAGACCTGCTCCCATGATGCTGTGTCTGGAGCGCATGGCTCTTGAGCCACTCCACAGCCACCCCAACTCTGTTCGGCCAGAACTGCTGGGCTGGGCAGCCATGGAGGCTCCACTTAGAAAGCCTGGGTCACTGATTCCCATGTGCCCTTCAGGCAGGCAGTTCTTTCCCTCCCCATGCTCTTATCCACATACGCACTCACTCACAGTTGCTCTCACTCACTCTCCACTCTGTGTTTTGACTGTAAGTTTGGTACAGGTCTGTGAGCAAGTGGACAGAGCTTCCAGCTACTCTGTCGCTATCTTGGATTTCCTCAAACAGGTTTTCAAGTTCTTGTTCTCTCTCTTCTTTCTGCAGCCCCATGATGCATATGTTAGTGCACTTGAAGTTGTCCTAGAGGCTTCTTATACTGTCCTCATTTGGGGGTCTTTTTTTTCTTTTTGCTGTTCTGGGTGTTTTCTGCTTCCTTATCTGCCAGATTACTGATTTGATCCTCTGCTTTTTCTAACTTTAGTTGATTCACTGTAATGTATTCTTCATTTCAGATATTGTAGTATTCACTTCTTACTGGTTCTTTTTTAGGTTTTCTGTCCCCATTTTTATGTTTCCTATCTCTTTGTTGAAGTTCTCACTGAGATCAGTGAGCATCCTTATAACCAGTGTTTTAAACTCTGCATCTATGTCTTTCTCCATTTTGTTCAGTTATTTTTTGGGGTTTTGTTCTGTTCTTTTATTTGGGACATGTTTCTGTATCCTCATTTTGGCTGCTTCCCTACATTTGTTTCTGTTTATTAGATAGAGCTCTTACATTCCCTGTCTTGGTAGAGTTGCTGTATGTAGTAAGTGTCCTATAGGGCCCAGTGGCTCAGCCTTTCTGCTGAAGCTGGACACTGTATCCACCATGTGGGTTGTGTGTACTCTTCTGTTGTAGTTGAGTCTTGATGGCTATTGGTACATCAGTTTGAGGTATTCACCCCCAGGCCAGTCAGCTACGAAGACTCGTCACAACCACTGGGGAGGATCTGCTATGCAGGGTCAAACCATACAGAGCAAGGCTGTCATCAGTGAGTCTCTGGTGCCTGCTGAATTTCCCCTTTTAGTGTACCAGTTGTAGTGGTGGTTGGGTGATGCTTTGGCATGTTCTGAAGCTATTCGCTAGTTGCTCTGCCTGGGTTTATCAGGCCAGAGCACAAAGTGATCTGCAGGTGAATGCTATTTGACCTGGGTTTGGGGGTGCCCAGGAGAGGCCAAGCTGCTAACCAAGGCCAGTTGCCATGAGTACTGGGCCTAGAGCCACATAGCAAAAGCTATAGGGCTTACCGAGGCCAGATGATGCTTGTTTGAGTGATTTTAGGAAAGTTTGCAGCCTGAGCCAAGACAGGCTGTTTGTATGGAGACATTGGGTGGGCCCACAAAGTGGGTGGAGCAGGATCCCAGGCAATCACCAGGGCAGGGCAAACAGTATGAGCCAGGTTGATGAAGACTGAAATATGGCACCCACCACCTGGCTCTCAGGGGGGAGGGCTCAGCAAAGGAATGATGGCCTCTGTTAACACTTCTATCTGGGAGAAACCTGTCCTTCCAGCTCTCTTTAGACAATTCCGTTTTTCCGTATATGTCCCTGGTGCCTTTTGAGCTGCTGTGAGTCAGTAGGTCCTCATGTGGACCCTTTAAAGGGAATGCCTGGAGTCCCTAGCCAGGTAGCTCAGTTGGTTAGAGTGTCACCCTGATACATCAAAGTTGAGGGTTTGATCTCCAGTCAGGACACATACAAGAATCACCCAATGGATGCACAAATAAGTAGAACAACAAATCTCCCCCCGCCCCTGCTTCCTTCTGTTCGCTCTATAAAATAAATAAATAAAATTTAAAAAAAAAAAAGGAATGCCTGCGAGTCCAGAAGCCCTCCATCTTATTCAACCACTGGCTTTCATAGACAAAAGTTATAGGAACTTCTCTTCCTGGTACCAAAACACCGGTCTGGAAGCCTGGTGTGGGGCTGGGACTCCTCACTCCTAAAGGTACTTCTCCACAGCCCAGATAATCCCTCCTGATTTTTAACTGTTACATGTGGGTATGGGATCAGCCTATTCTGTGTCTCTGCCCCTCATACCAGTCTGGACCTGGCTTCTTCTGTATATCCTTAGTTATAGGATTTTTGTTAAGCTAGACTTCAGGAAGTTCTGAATGATGATTATTCCATAGATCAGTTGCCATTTTGATGTGGTTGTGGAAAGAGGTAAGTATAGCATTTACCTATACCACCATCTTGATCAGAAGCTGAATTGTGTAATTTAAATGGGTAAATTATATGGTGTGTGAACTATATATTAATAAAGCTATTTTTACATTTTAATTGTGAAAATTAATGGATTGCGTTTGGCATTTTAGTTGAAGATTCTTTCTCATTGGTAACTTAAATCTAAAAAATATCAAAATGAGGGTACCATTTTGTCATCCTTATTGTTGTAATTGATTTAGGCAAAAATTCATCACAAATGGTAAAACAATGGGTGAAAACTTGTTGTCAGAAAGGATATTTACAGTCTCAAAATATATCCAAACAGATTACAAAGAGGAAAAAATGACAAATCTAGGTGAAACATGTGCGAGTTTATTAAATTTTTTGTAACTTTTCTGTAAGTTTGAATATTATATTAAAATATTGTAAGTTTTAATATATATTTTTAAAATCTATTGATTTTAGGTGAAGTGTCACCAATATTGGCCAGAACCCACAGGAAGTTTATCCTATGGATGCTACCAAGTCACTTGCCATTCTGAAGAAGGAAACACTGCATATATCTTCAGGAAGATGACACTATTTAACCAAGAGGTAGGAAGGCAAGACATCCATCTGTTTATTAGAATTGTTGTGTTCAAGGTGAAGGCTTTGAAAGCTGAAAATGTTTTTAGTCTGAGTTCTTGTTACTAGGAAATACCATTTTAAGTGACTAAACTATTTGCTTCATTGGGGTGCTTTGGAATCTCATGAAGTATATTTCCTTTCTATAATAAATGTATTTCCAGTTTCTATAGTTAAATATGAATGGACAGTGCAAAAAGAATCTAGTAAATAAATACTATACTCCTAAAACTATGTATGCTTATAAAAATTATACTAGGGATGTTTTTGGTTAGAAAGATTTTTTCTCCAAATAATATCAATAAAGTATTTTAGTACATCTGTGGAAATGGGGAAAAAAATTAATTGTAAGTTATCAAATTATTTGATAATTGGGCAATACAATTAATTTTTCAGAATCCTGTAACTGTGTAAAAGGAATTAAATGCCCCTTTTTAAGAGTAGAGAAGAGAAAGTTCAGTCTCCTCAGTATTAAGAGGGAAAGATCATAGGCAGGACCCTCCCACAGCAGATAGATTATAGTTTTCTAATTGCTAGTCTTCTTAACTGCCACCTGAGTCACTCTCCTTGGCTTCCAAATCCAGACCCAGAAATAGATGCTGATTAATGAATGACAGCTTAATAACCCAATGGGAAGATGTGTGTAGAGGGTGGCATACTGTCAGTCATGTTAGTCTGGTAGAGACAGTGCACCCACTTTTATTGCCTTCAACTAGATACTCCCATGCCACTCAACCTTTGGTTTTGAAGGGGCTGTAAGAAGAAAGAAGCAATTGCTAGAGAAGTACAAACAACACAAACTATGAAGACACAGGCCTATCCTATCAAATGTTTAAGCCTTTGGAAATAAGAACTCCATTCTTCTCCCACCCACCTACCCCCTGAGTATGATTAAAGCAGCCCACCAAGATAGAGCCTTACTGACCCAAAGGGAAGGAGCTGGAAGTTGTGCTGCTTTATGTTAAAGGAATCTGGCATTGAATAAAGCTAAACTTACAAGAAATTAAAAATTAAATAGTTTCAAAATCTTAAGGGCTAGAGATTCCATCAGAATGAATTTAGTGTTGAGGGACATATACTGGATAGCTCATGGTCTAATGTAACAAGGCAAGCCAATAACCTTTCTTCATTTTCTCAACTAAGTATGACAGATAGGATGTATATGGTTACATAAAGTATATTTATATCTTCAGCATAGTCTCTTTATTTTACTCCACCTATAGATTATCCATGATAGTTTTATATACTGTAGTGGCTTTTCTTTGCAAACCCTGAATACCTCAGAACTGTGCTAAGACACATATTAGTTTCTAAAGTGAGACCCAAATATAATTGGGAAAAATAATTTGCTATCATGTACACATAAATACATACATACTTAGATGGAAATACAAACACTATCTCAAAACTGATTAAAATATGATTTTACATTACCCATTTTCATTGGTCATTGATACCATTAAATTATTTTGTTAGTTATAATCAAAGGTAGTCTATATTAGATGCCTGTAATTCATTTTATACAATTACAGAATTCTGAAAAATTAGTTATTAAATTATACTGAGGTATCTTTAGGAATTCTTCTTTTATTTGTCCCTTTTAATTATTTTTTGTTGTTGTTGACATTACAGATGTCCCCATATCCCCCCACCTTCTACAAACCCTCACCCCCCTTCCCTCTGGCCATCATAGTACTTGTTTGTGTCTGTGATTTATGCATATATGTTCTTTGGCTAATTTTAGGTCCATTTTTTAATTACCTCTTGCTTTCATGATCTTTTCTGGAAATGCCCTGTAATATAAATGACAATAACTAGATTTCTTAGTGTTGAATGACTATGGCTAATGATCATTGATCTTAAGATTCCAAACAACTAATCGGGAGATTTGCAGGTTCTCTCACAGTATCCTTTCTCTTTTGAGGTGTAGATGTTGTTTCATTTGCAACTGAAGAAAGTGAGGCTCTGAAGTATTAAATACCTTATCTGACAAGAGTTGAAATGTACAAATCCAAAATCTTTTTCTCTTATATCAACTTCTGGCTTCCCCAAAATAATTAAGGCCTGATTTGAATTTTGTGTTTTTGTGATCTTCAGTTTTTATTCCAAATTTATTTTGAGATTTTATTTTTCTGATTTCCATGATTTCACTTGTTTTTTAGGATTAGCCCAACTTTGTTCATAAAAAATATTTTTTACTTTAACCATATTTGTTCACCCACCACTTGTTTAATTTTCTTAAACTTGTTTTTGCCTGTTTACTTGATTATCATTTTAAAAAGTACTTTACAATTATAGAAGTGATCCAAGTAGTACATACCTAAATGGATACGGTTGTTTCTTTTTTGTTGTTATTCTGTTATACAACTATTCTGTAAAATGGTTTCTTTCTTTTTTGTTGAATTTTGGGTTTTATTGAGTATATGCATTACTTTGGGGGAAGGTAGTGGAAGTAGTCTCTTTTCTTTCTAAAATGACATGAACATTTATTTATATTTTAATAATTCCTAAATCAAGGTGCATAATTTTTCATTTACATGTAGAAAAATGAGAGTCGTCAACTCACTCAGATCCAGTACATAGCCTGGCCTGACCATGGGGTCCCTGATGATTCAAGTGACTTTCTGGACTTTGTTTGTCATGTACGAAATAAGAGGGCTGGCAAGGAAGAGCCTATTGTTGTTCATTGCAGGTATTCTATTTTCTGTCTTTTATGATTGAATAGCTGACATGTTTTTAAAAGGAATATGTACTTTGTCCTTAAGTTGTGATTGTCATAACTGTTTTAATTAGAGACAACTCAAAGCTGTGCTCTGAAGGTAGAAGGCAAAGGGTATGTTCCAGTATGAGTGGCAGAAAGGTTATCATAAGACCTGAAAACAGTACTTTATTGCACTGATTGTTAGACATTTGTCTTTTTCATGGTTTAACATATTTGCAATCAGGGTTTGTCTTACAATGGATAGTACTACTTAATGAAATACAATAATGTAGGCAGGAGCTGCAATCTAAGGTTTAGATTTCTACCTCCCAGCAAGGTACTCCTTCCTGGCCTGTGGTCCCTCTCTGGACATTTGGTGAGTAATCTCACCTTTCTTGAAATAGCCGTACCCAATACCATCACAGAATAAGCCACTTTCAGGAGCTCCAGGTAAGTAATGATAAGCTACCCTTCCTTCCTTTCAGACTCATACCCTCTTATAGTGACTCCAGCCTTCAGTGCTACCAACCAAGAGATTAGAAGACAAAGTATTTTCTCCTGACCTGGCCACCTCTATTATTAAGTGATTATTCAAAGGATGTGTTGAAGTATCTCTTTATCCTTAAACCTCCAAACACTTATTAACAGCAGACTTTCAAATCATCAAAAACAGATTATAGACCAAATATTTGAAAGGCAAAATAGCAAGAATGGTGAACACATGATTCAATACTTGTAATTTTCTGCACAAGTCCACAGAAGTTTAATGGAATAGTATCAGTAAGACCTTGCCCTGTATTTGTCTTCTTTAGTGCTGGGATTGGAAGAACTGGGGTTCTTATTACTATGGAAACAGCCATGTGTCTCATTGAATGCAATCAACCAGTTTATCCACTAGACATTGTCAGAACAATGAGAGATCAACGAGCCATGATGATCCAAACACCTGTAAGTACTGTACTTCGTGTATACGTGTGTATTCTCAACATGATGATTCTTGTCAATGTATATTTATAGCTTTTTAACATATGCAAGGAGCTAATAACCCCTAACACAGGGGTTTGTCAGATACTGCCTGTGAGCTAAATTTGGCCTGTCACTTGTTTTTGTAAATAAAGTCTTACTGGAATACAGCCATGCTCATTTGTTGACATAATATTTATGGCTGCTTTCACACTATGTATTCTTTTACAGAAAATGTTTGTCAACACCACCCTAGCATATTAATTCTTGAGTTTTTAAAACATCAGAGAGGAACTTGCCCTGTATTACTTAGTCAAGTGGAACTCTGAGAATGATTTTTTACGTAAGAACTTTAATTGTAACAACAACAACCATAGAAATTAAGCTACTAACTTATTATATTCTACACTGACCCTGAATAATGCTTAAATATCACCAGAGGAACCATGGAATTTTATATTTAATGTTAAGATAACTTGTTATAGTAAGCCATGGTGGAATGTTAGCATCGTTGGTCACATTACAGTTACTGAGGTGAATTGACCTCTATGACCTAATAATACCTGTCTTTTTTTTAGCTTGAAATTATGGAAAATTTCAAGCATACAAAAAGTAGACAATATAATGAACACTATGTTGAGTCCTCAGACCCAACAACATTTGCCATATTGTTTCATATGAATGAAATTATATAATTTATTTCATTGATCTTTTGTCATTGGCTTCTTTTAATTAGCATAGTATTTAAAAGTTTATCCATTCTGTGGCCTTTGTCAGTGTTTCATTTCTTTTTTTGGCTGAAAAATATTCCATTGCATGAATATACCACATTAAATTGTTTATACATACATCATCTGTTGATAGACATTTGAATTGTTCCCACTTTTTGTCTGTTATGAATAATGGTGCTATAAACATTCATGTATGTTTTTGTGTAAACATGTTTTCATTTCCCTTTTGTATATATCCAGAAGTTGAATTGCTGGGTCATATGGTAACTCTGTTTAAACTTTTGAGGAACTTTCAAACTGTTTCCACCATTTTGCCAGTCCCATTGGCAGTGTATGAGGGTTCCATTTTCCTTCACATATCATCAACACTTCTTATTGTCTGTACTTTTTTGTTTTAGCCATTTTACTGCATATAAAGTAGTCATCTCATTGTGGTTTTGATTTGCATTTCCCTGACAACTAATGATACCATGTATATTTTTATGTGCTTATTGTCTATTTATTCATATATCTTCTTTGGCGAACACTCTGTTCAAATCTTGTGCCTAATTCTTAACTTGTTTTTCTTTTGTCATTTTGTTGTTGAGTTGTAAGAATTCTTTATATTTTCTTCTCCAGCCAGTGTGGCTCAGTTGTTTGGGGTGTCATCCCTTAGACCAAAGGGCCGCAGGTTTGAGTCCCAATCATGGCACATACCCAGGTTGCAGGTTTGATCCCGGTAAGGGTGCATATGAGAAGGCAACCAATCAATGTTTCTCTTTCACATTAATGTCTTTCTCTCTCGCTCTATCTTTCCTCCTCTCTCACCCTCCCTCAACCCTTCCTCTTTTTTTAAAAGCAATGAAAAAAATGTTCTCAGGAGAGGATTTTTTTAAAAGAGTTCTTTATATTTTTTGAATACAAATCCCAAATATTTTCTTCCATGCTGTTTTTCACTTTCTTGATTATGTCATTTAAAGCACCAGGTTTTTAATTTTGATACAGGGCAGTTTTTTTTTAAACCACATATGTGTTTGGTGTCATATTTAAGAAATCATTGCCTAATTAAGGGTCACAAAGATTTATTCTTCTTATTTTCTTCCAAGATTTTTATAGCTTAGCTCTGACATATAGGTGTGTCTGATCCATTGCAAGTCAATTTTTGCATATGGATTGAGGTAGGATTCTAGGTTTTATTCTTCTCTATGTACATATTCAGTTATCCTAGCCCCATTTTTTGAAAAGATTATTCTTTTCCCATTAACTGTGTCTGGGTCCCTTGTCAAAAATCAGTTGCTACAAATATAAGGGTTTCTTTCTGGACTTTCAACCCTATTCCATTGATTCATATGTATAATCTAATGCTAGTACCGCACTGTCTTGATTATTATAGCTTTGTAGTAAAACTAGAAATCAGGTTGTGAATATCCCAACTCTTTTTGTTTAAGACTGTTTTGGCTATTCTGGGTCCCTTGCATTTCCAAATGAATTTTAGAATTAGTTTTATCTTTTCTGCAAGCCCCCCCCCCCAAAAAAAAAACAGGAAAGGGATTATATTAAATTGGTAGCTCATCTTGGGCAATGTTGCCATCTTAATGATTTTCCATCTTCCAAGTCATGAACATAAAATGTCTTTCCATTTTTAAACGTCTTTTAATTTAAATTTCTTTCAATTATGTTTTATAGTTTTCAGTGTGTAAGCCTTACACTTCTGTTAAATTAATTCTTATGCATTTTAGTCTTTTTGGTGCTATTATAAGTGAAATTGTTTTCTTATTTCATTTTAGGGACTGTTAATTTTGCTTGAGTATAGAAATAAAATTGACTTTGTATATTGGTCATGTATTCTGCAACCTTGCTGAAATCATTTATTAACTCTAATAGTTTTTTGTGTGTGAGTGGATTCTTTAGGATTCTTTATGTACAAGATTATGTCATCTTCAAGTAGAGTTTACTTCTTCCTTTTTTTTTTTTTTAAGATTTTATTTGTTTATTTTTAGAGAGGGAAGGGAGGGAGATAGAGAGAGAGAGAGAGGGAGATAGAGAGAGAGAGAGAGAGACATCAATGTGCCGTTGCTGGGGGTTTTGGCCTGCAACCCAGGAATGTACCCTGGCTGGGAATCGAACCTGGGACACTTTGGTTCCCAGCCCGCGCTCAATCCACTGAGCTATGCCAGCCAGGTACTTCTTCCTTTCCAATTAAGGTGCCTTGCTTTTCTTTTTATCTTATTTTTTCTTTTTTTTTTCTCCTTGCTTTAAACCTCTGGCACATATTAAATAAAGTGTTAAATAAGGTATTTCTAACCTTAGAAAGACAGTTTTCAGTTTTTCACCACTAAGTGTCATGTTACACTTAGTGTCACAGGTTTTTTAAATAAATGCTCCTTCTCAAGTTGAGGAAATTTCCTGTGTTACAAGTCTGTTGAGTGTTTTCATCTTGAAAAGGTACTCATTTTTCTCAAGTGCTTTTTCTGTGTCTGTTGAAATGATCATGTGGCTTTTGTCTTTTATTCTATTAATGTGGTATATTACATTGATTTTTGGATATTAAACTAACCTTGAATTTCTGGGATAAATCTTGGAGATGATGTATAATCCTTTTAATATATTGCTTCATTTGATTTGCTAATGTTTTCTGGAGGTTTTTTATCTGTATTCACACATAATGGATTTTTTATTTTTAATTATAGTAAAATATACAACATAAAACTTACCACCTTAACAGTTTTTAAGATTACTATTCATTAGTGTTAAGTATAATCACACTGTTATATAACCAGTCTCTAGAACTTTTTTCATCTTGCAAAACTAAAACTCTACCCCTTAGACAACAACACTTAATTTCCCTTTCCTCCCAGCCCCTGGCACCCACCATTCTACTTTCTGTTTTTATGAATTTGACTACTCTAGATATTTCATGGAAGTGGAATTATACATCTTTTTATAATTGGCTTATTTCACTTAACATAATATCCTTGAGGTTCATCCATGTTCTAGCGTGTGTCAGAATTTCATTTCTTTTAAAGCTAAAAAATACTTCACTGTGTATGTATAGACCACATTTTGTTTATCCTTTCATCTGTCAATGGATATTTGGATTATTTTCATTGAGCTTTTGGTTATTGGGAATAATGCTGCTATGCACATGGATATATAAATACCTCTTTGAGAACCTGCTTTCTCAATGTTTTTTCTTGGATATATTCCCAGAAGTCAAATCACTGGATCATATCAGACATATAATGAGTTTTTTTAACATTTTATTTATTTATTTTTAGAGAGGGAAGGGAGGGAGATAGAGAGAGAGAGAAACATCAATGTGTGGTTGCTGGGGGTTATGGCCTGCAACCCAGGCATGTACCCTGGCTGGGAATCAAACCTGTGATACTTTGGTTCGCAGCCGGGCTCAATCCACTCAGCTACGCCAGCCAGGGCTATGTCTCCTAAATCTTTTAATCTCTCGCTTCCTTCTACATCTTTTTTCTTGTTACTTGCAATTTATTTGATGAACAAACCAGGTCGTTCATGCTACATAGTTTTCCACAGTCTGAATTTTACTGACTGCATTCCCAAGGTGGTGGTCTCTATTTTCTAGAAGTGGTAAATTGGATCAGTGGGTCTGAGCAGCCTAAGTGTTTTTATGTTCTTTCTATAAGTAGCACATGTCTGGTTGTCTTTTCTTTGTGATATTAGCAGATTTGAGTGAGCAGTATCACTGCTCATTGAGTGCCTGTATCATTAATTCATTGGGCTTTTGAAATGATGATATTCTATCAATCCTTTATTTATTTACTAGCTGGAATATTTCTTTAAAGAGGAACTCCTCATCTGCTATTTGGTTAACCTGTGGTATAGCCTGTATCTGAAAGGCAAAATAAACCTTTGATAGACCCTTACAAATAAAAGTTTAAACCCAAAGTAAACCCTTTACAGATAAAGTTTACCTTTACTTGTAAAATTTTTACTATAATGAGTTGGTTCACTTAGCTCTCCCAGTGGTGACCACTTACTTCATTTGTTTTGGTATTATTTGGAAATCATGGATCTATACATTTGTGATGTTTCAACCCATTGAAGTTATATTTCTTAATTCCTAAATTATCCCATTTTTGGCCAGTGGGAGTCTATTCAGCAAGGCTCCTGGGCCTTTCTGTGAAGACCCTAGTAACTTAGCTTCCTTACTGTGAATAAAGATGATAAGGCCCCAGCCTTGTACAGTTCCTGCCCCAAACTTAGAATCTGTAATTCCTCCAAAATGTACTGGTTCTTTTTATTGAGAAATTAGTTTAGGAAGCACCTCTGAGAACTAGCATGTTTTATTGCTCTGGGGTTAGTATTAGTATTTGTTTGTAAAAATCTTTGTAAAAATCTTCAATAGCCAGAGGTAGGAAAACAAAGTTATGAATACTTTCATTTCCAATACAAAATCAGGGCCATAGAGTTCTTACTCAATGCCTTCTACCTTCCACCTTTATTGCCTTTCTTCTTTAACAAAAATGATAGTTCTTTATAATACCAGCGGTGAAAGAATATCACAAGTGCTCATTTGTTTTATTTTATATTACGCAACAACAATCTCAGAATAACTAAACTAACTCTGCTACCACCAACAGTATGGTTACTGAAAAGAATTTTCAGTTTTTCTCTACGGTCCTTTTTGCTTTTTGTGTATATTCTACAAAAGATACACAAATTACTATTTCTCAAAGTCCCTTGGAATAGCTCCTCTCTGTGTAGTTCTGCCATCAACTAGATACACACATTGATTTGTTTCATGTTATTTTCAATTTGTAGATTTTTTAAAATTAACTGTCTAATTATGAGATGTGTTTATATGGTTCCTAAGTAAAATCTCTAAAACAAGGAGAAATATATTCCAATGAAGTCTAGTCTCTGTCCTTCTCTTGCCTCTATTTCTTCCTTTCTTCATAGAAAATCATTTTTTAATGATTTATCCTTCCCTTGCTTTTTTAAAAACATAAACAGTGTGAGGCAAAAGTAGGTTTACAGCTGTTCATGTGGAAAATAATACAATAATTAATAAATAATAATACAAGAGTAAGCTCTGTGTTTCACATTCTCACAACTGCAAACCTACTTTTGCCCCACTGTGTATATTGAGACATATTCATATCCCCCCTTTCTTTTATGAAGATAACATATTATATGCAGTTTTCTCTATTTGCTTTTTTTTACTTAACAAAATATCCTGGAATCATTCTATAATAGTCTTGAGACTTCTTCCTCCCCCACTGCAGAGTATTCCACTGTGAGAATGTGCCACAGATTACTCACCAGGTCCCTTCCTGATGGCGAGTTGGATTGTTTTATTTTGTTATCATAAATAATTCTGCACTGAATGGCCTCACTTATGAATATATGTTTTCAACTTCTTTTTCTAGTTTATCTTTGGATAGACTTCTAAAAGTGGGATTGCTGGGTCAATAGATAAATTAATGAAATATTGTTCGATCCTGCCAAATTGCCATCCACAGGGATTGTGGCAATGCTAGGGATGTTAACAATGCATGAGTGATTTTTGCCAACAAAATAATGTTGTCAGACTCATTTTTTGCTAGTCTGTTCATGAACAATGGTGTCTCTATGCAGTTTTACTTTGTATTTCTTTTATAAGCAAGCCAAGTGAGTTGTCATTTTTTTCTAGTTTTTCTAATCAGTTCTGTTTTTTGTGTTTTATTTTTCAGAGTCAGTACAGATTTGTATGTGAAGCTATTTTGAAAGTTTATGAAGAAGGATTTGTTAAACCATTAACGACATCATCAAATAAATAAGAAAACAAAAGTCCTGGATATGTGTTGGAAGACTGCTTTCCATTACATTCACTGTGCCATAATACTGCTTGCAGGAAATGGCATCTAAACAAAAAAATGATGAACTAACAAAAACTGAAAACTTCAGCACTGTTGCACTTTATGTTTTAAAAAAGTCACTGTCTCAAAACCTATAATTCATGTGTTTGAAGACTGTTTCATGCTTTGCTCAGAACATATAGTGAATAACTGACTATGTTCAGGGTAATTTATGAAGTTTTGTGGTGGTGCCATGCAGTCCCCTTTTGATAGAAAGCCACAAACGAGGCTCAGAATTCTCGTCATCTCTGTTACACACCTGTATTTTGAAAGCAAAAAGAAGTAAACATCAGGAGTTAGCTCTGGTGTTTTCAGTGATTCATGTACTTACTATACTGAACACCAGATTTTATTTTTTAAATTTTAGCAATATCATTTTAAATATTAGCCAGTACACTGCCTATGGATGCAGCACATCTTTCCCTGTACTCCCTTAGAGACCTGCTGTTCGTTAATAAGAAGAAAAGTGGAATTGCTTTTCCCAGGAAATGCTGCACATTGTCCATTTACCAGCATCTTATAGAAAGTATAAATATGAATATATACATTTTCTTAAATTTAATAATGTAACTTATATTACCATAAGGTTGGCTTATTCCAAATCATGTGGTCTCACATACTTGATGTAAAGGAATGCATGCATTGTGTCTTAACCCCTTAAGTGCCTTCAGATGTCTGTATGTCTAACGAAAAGGCACTCATTTGACCCCAGTAGGAAGTATGTAGGTATATTGTACATTTACATTTTTATGCATTTTGAATCAGTTCACATTTGAAAATAACTTCTTGTTTGAGAGTTACACAGTCAAAGAAGGATAAAGAAATTCTGTTTCTCACTCAGTTCCTGTATTTTGTCACATGAAGCAAAGGTAATTTGTCTTCTACTGAGTGAGCACTTTGCTGCTATGGAATTAAGTCTGCACATTCCTTTCCTAACAGACAAGGGTTACAGTTTAGCAGCTCAAGTTAAGAGATGTTTTATTCTTAAAATTTAATATTTATTTTATCCCTAACTTTAGAAATGACATCTAATGTGCACATTAAAGTTAAACATATTGATACTCTAAGCTAAAGTTAGAGCAGTTAGTTGTGACATTTCTATCACTAACTCTTCAGCACTCATTTCAGTTTGTGTCAAGTTTTGTTCACACTGGTCTGTTGGTCAGGATACTTTGAACAAGGAATGAAACATTGACTTGTTTCTAAATGTAATCCCTCAGTAACTGAAGTGAGAGTTTTCTTGTCATTTTTGTGTATAATTAAATTACTCCAGTTTATATATACTTATTAAGTTAAAGCATGTTAATTCATGGAGAATTTTGACTTTTCTGCCTGATAGAAAGAGGATCTGATTCCCTTTAAGGACATATAGATTTTCCTCTTCAGATTGGTTTTTTTTGTTTTATTTTTTTTTTAATCTAGAGAGAAAAGAACTTTAAAATCACCCACTTTTAATGTAAGTGGAAATTTCTTACCTTTTGAAATGTCGTATTACATAATTATTTTATATGGATTATGGTTGAAATAGACTTTTACTAGTGGTTTCTGAATATTTCAGAATAGTATTGATTAAATTTAGAGTTGAATAATAGGTATTTTGGAATGCCATTTAGTGTCGGGGGAGAAGTGTACATTTTAAAATCTTCAGTATAATCTAAATGATGTTATTTCAAATATTCAAGATCCATAATAATAAATTTTAAGAAGTTAATTCCTAAATATTAATAGCCGAGATACCAAATAAATTATTACATTAAAATGTTAAGTTTTTTTAAGAGGCAAGTAAACATAACCTTTATGTCAAAGAGAAATTCTCTTACGTATTACTGAATTTCATAGCCAAGACAGTGTGAGTAAATAACTAGTTTTATTTGAACATTCCATTCTTTACCAACAGATGAGTGTAATTTAGGCTGCTATATGACATGACAGTAAGTTGAAAAGTGAAAAAATAAAATCATATCAGGGTCTACATAATTAACAACTGTTTTGGCAGTTTTCCACATGAGTTAAAAAGAAAATCTGTTCTGTGTGGATAGAATATAACAACGACAGTTTTTTTCTTAATATGCAGTTGTATAGATATAAACAGATAAATGGCATACTAGCATGTTCTTCAGCTTAGGGCTTTGTTTACACTTCTAGGTTAACTCTAATAATTTTTTGGCATTGAGCACTGCTGCCTTTTTTAATCGTTAATGCCAGTCTTTAAATGACAATATATTAGAAGTTTAGGATTATATTTAAATTTCTCATGTATCAATTTTTCACCTGGGAGTTACTCTCTGTCAGTATTTTTATGTAAAAAAGATCCTTTTTTAAAGGCATATATAGTGGGATCTTAAATTTAAAATAAATTTATCCTTCACAACTTCTTAAAATGAATAATGTTAAATACGCTTCCCTGTTCATGCAACAGATAAGACTTTATCCATTACACTTAAGAATTGTTTAACCTGTTTATCAATCTATATAGGATTCTAGGAATAATCCTATTTTTGGTACATGAAGTAGTTCTAGATTTCATTCATATCAATATAATATTGTGTGATAAAAATGCCAAATTTCTTGTATCTAAACTACTCTCTCCCTCCCCTTCCCCCCCTTCTCTGTCTCTTTCTCTCTCAATGCTGACTGTTACTCTCACAAGTGGAAATAGATATTGGTGAATCGACTTTTGTAAATGCTAAGAAATGATTGTGAAAACCTTTCTAATTTATTATAGTTTTACTATGTTTGTTTCCAATGTTTGATTGGGCATCTGATTTGAGTCAGCATGGCATACATAGGAGGAGGAATATTTTGGAATAGACTTTACATTCACAAGAAGAATTAGTAGTAGTTGTTAAACCAGTGCATTCATTCAAAATAGAGGCAGAGTAACAGCATAAGAAATAATTTCCTTTGTTTTGGCCTGCTAGCACAAGTAGGGGGGAGGGAAAAGGTTGATCATTTTGATTAAGAGTAAAGAGAAAATTTATATATAAAAACTGGTTTAAAATGTATAAAGATATGTTAAACCATTAAGACAGTTGCCTGGTCTTTTCCAGTACCAATATTACACATAGAGACACTTTTGTGTGTTTATATATTTGTGCTTCACAAAAGCTAATGCTAACAGAAGTAAAGGATTGCTATTTTAAGTATAGAGCTTTTTATAATTTGTTGATGGATCTAACGAGGTTTAATCAGGTATTTGGGCAAAATTCTCCTGTTTTTATTAGCAGCACTATAACTTCAGAGCTAGAAGGAACTTGAAAGATTTTTATCTAATCTCACTTTCTATTATCTTAGACAAAATATATGTGATCATCATAAGTTCACAAGAATTTTAGTCTGTTTCAGCTCAAGAATTACACTCAGGCAGTTATTTCAATTCAATAACTATGATGACCTTAGAAGATGTCACTTAATTTAGAAAATAAGTAGACTTTTTAAAGTAATCCTAATTAGAACCTTGACTCGGTTTGTAAGCCATGCTTCCTTGACAGATCATAAGCTTTTGGGAGGTATTTAAGCTGATATACTTGCAGTGTGAAAACATTCTAAAGTGCAAATTAGAAGACTAATTTTTAAAAGCACTTAACATGAAAGTAAGATTTAAAATACATGTCCACTAGTAATCAATTTATGTTCATAATGTGAACATGTAGTAGAATTACAGCATTACTTGTTTTATAATCTTATCAGGAAGAGAGAAGGAAACAAGAATTTTTAACAATGTTCTATTTGACATCTGTGTTTTGAATATTTAAAATACTCTGATGGTAAGTTTGCCAAAGTAGATTTGAATTCATAAAAATTATACCATAATAATGTGGGATATGTTTACATCTCTTTTACTTTGTTATAATTAATATGTAGTTCAGGTTAATTTGCATTTAAGTAATTTAGAATAAATGCACTATGGTAAAATTTGTTGGAATAAACATGTCTTAATAACATGATAAATTACACCACAGTGTGCTTTTATGCCACATCAACTATATTAGCATTGCTTGCTTCCCACATTTGCTTCAGCTATCCAACCACAGTTTCTGCAAGCATTGCTTTGTGTTTTCTTTCCAAGTAAAGTGGCTGTTATTGAAACTGACTGGATTAATTTCATCAAATATCAGAATTACTGATCTGTTGGTAAAGATTTACTGGTGCCTCAGTGTGATCACAACATAATTTTAGCAACCACTTTATAAAATTTTTTGAGAATCATACAGATACAAATACATTTAAATAAGATAACATTTTAGGACTGTTAGTAGATAATTTTAGCAAGTTTATGAAGAGCCTATGAAATTAACCTCTAAGTTGTATTTTTAGGTGTTCAATTTACTTTACAATGTCTGCAGCAATTACCAATACACTTTTTTATTGTATACAGATATCATTCTTAGTAGCAATTCAATAAGCTTTTCAATGTTTTCAAGAAAAAGCATGCCCTATTTCAGGCAGAATTGAGACATTTAATTTTCATCATCTTGGTGAAGTTGTCATAGGCAGACACCAAATTGTTATTTGTTTCCTATCTAAATTTGCTGCTATTTATTTCTGTTTTTCAATGGCAGCTTACTCTGTTTCTAAAGTTTTATATTCATTGTTTTTATTTTAGTAATGCAAGCTAAATGGGCAGCCAAAAGTAGTATCTACCAGGGTGCAGTTCATCAACATTGACTAGATAGGTTCATTGCATAAATAAGTAAATTGACTTTTTTAATTTACTAAGTGAAAGTTATTAGCAATATTGCAAGTTAAAGACTACAATTTTAGGAGGAAGTCCTAATGTTTAACTTCCTAAAACCTTTTAAAATTTCAACTGTAAGAGTGAAAATGTTTTAAAGCCTTGTAGTGCTCATAAAAGTTTCAGTTAAACACTGTTGATTTTTCCTATTGTGGTATAAATGATATGAAAAGTATTTTTCTATGGGCGAAGGATTGAAACTTCATTGTTTAAAAAGGAGAAAATGATATTTGTATGTCTTTCATGCTGTAAAGAAAATGAATGTATCTTTTAAATGTTCTTAGAATTATGACTTAATTATAAGGATACTCTTTGTTTTTTTTTAAAAAAAGTCAGTGAGGGATAGAAAAGGAAAGGAAGAGTGTATTTCACTTAACTAGAAAATGCAATTTTAGAAGAAAATGTAATTTTGTTATAAATAAGAGCAACCATTGAAACATATTTCAAATATAATGTACATTTTTTTCATTTTGTTTTGTTTTAGCTTTAGAATAGTAAATTTCAAGAAAATTTGTGCATACTGTTTTTAAGTATAATATAACTGAATTCTAGACTTCTCTAGAGTGTGGGAGGTTCTTTTTGTGTGAGAGTTAATGTTCTGCTGAATGTGTTTACCGTGAATGAAAGTTCTCAGGCTTTGGCACTATTGCAGCAACAATGAGGACATCATTGTGAGAGTATGACTTTGGTGAAGCCAGAAAACTGTGCCTAAGATTTACCCCAGTAAATATGTGCAGAGGCCCCTGACAAAGAGTTTTGCTTTTTTATTCTCAGTATCTTAGATAAGCCCAACTCTGCCTTGTAGCAGTGCTATCTTATATGCTTAAGGGTTTATTAAGTCTCCTGAAAACAAACAAACAAAAAAAAACAGAAAGCCTACATTTTAAACCAACATCTTTAGGTATGATTTATTTGTTCAACGATTTCTTTGAAAGGTAGTAGTTATTATTTACAACTCATTAAACTTGACTCAATGGGGTCTTCATTATTTTGACACCTGCTTCCATCCCTCTAACTTGTAAAATATTAATTTTCATTTACAGTAGAGTCTTTGTGAAGTAAGTACCCTGAAAAACTAACTAAAAGATGACACCTTCCTCATTAAATTTTATTAACAGTTACTAAAAGATTTGGATCGAGCCTCCTCAATCCTGGGAGTTTTCAAAATTTATCAAGTAGCATTTGTCATGACCTTAACTACAATGGCACATTGATAAATGAAAATGATCACCATGAAGCCATCAAGAGGGCTCATCCCTTCTTACAGTCTTAGACCCAAATAGGTACTGATTTGTGGTTTCCCCAAATCCACTGCAGTCACAGTTGAGCCCATTTTACTTTTTATTTAAGAGAAGCTTTTAAGTTTTTACTTTTGAATTATAGTGTTCCAGTTATTTGCCTTTCTGGGCAAGAAAATTTCAACCCAATTCTGGGATTCTCTTACCCCCATCTTTTCCCACCCTTCAGTGAGTTGACAAGGTTATTCATTCTTGTTTTCTGTAGAGTAGGCCAAATTTCAATGCTGAAATTGATTTCTTGAATTTCAAATAGTAGCACTTTATTTCATGCTTACTACTGACTTAATTTATACATTTAAAAAATATACTAGGTGTCTTGTAAATAGGGAAAAAAATTAATGGATTAATATGTAGAGCTCATTTGGACCCAATATAAATGCTTTACAATGATCTTTTGATCACTTGATACTTAAAAGGTAACTTGTGTGATTTTAGCTTTGCCACTTTTCTGTAATTTATTTAGTACAATAAAGGCTACCTAGTTGACTATATTGCTGGACTCAGTTCTCTCAGCTAGCTTCAACCAGTTTTGATTTACTATAATCATTTCTGTTTTGCATTTTTGTATATTACATAAATACTTGGAGATCCATCTGTTTAGTTTTGTGTTGCACCTAGGGGTTAAGTCAATACTGCACCACAAGTAAGCTGTAGGGGGCAAGGTCCTGACACTGTAAGTACATATCAAGGGACAGAATTTAAGAAATTAAAAACAGTTTACATTAGCCATTTTTATTTTCTGTCATTAGAATATATGTGCTTTAAAAAATTAACACTGTCCAACCCAGTGTTCTACAGCGTCAGGACATTGCATTTACAATTCATATTGTAATCTTTTCAAATAAGAAAAGCTAGTCTTTATTTTCTACAGTGTAGGCTTAATTTTAGGACAAACGGTTTACTATATACTCATAAGTGATATTCTAAGCAGTAGTTTTTAAAATAATTATTTCTATGTAGTGGGTGTTTTAATTTGGGATTTTTTCCCCTTGTACCAGGTGCTATATGTAAATATGAAGAGCAAAATGTCAGTTAAAAGTAGTTTATTTCCTAATTAAAATACAGTTTTACAGTTCTGCTGCCATTTCACGTTTTATTGTACTGAACTCGTAGCAGATACAATTACCCCCTAGTTTTTTAAGTTAACTCTTCTCCCATTTTACATAAATATGTTTTGATAGGATTTGTTCCCTAATTAAGAGGCAAAGAAGCTTAGGGTTTACTTAAAATGTGTAAGCTTGAATTTGGTCAACACTGGATAATTTGAGAGTCACTATTCATCTGTCACTTCTTCCTACTGTATACTTGGAAGACCTTGTGTATTTGAATGTTGGTGAAAAATTATAATTCCTATTCATGTAAAAATATGAATACTAATAGCAAATAGGATTAAAATGCCGATTTGCATTAAAACTGTTTTAGTCGTAAGAGTGATTTATATTATGTAAAATGCTATGTCATACTTTGTTGGCCATATTCATTTGATTGAGAAATAGTCATTCGGGTACAAATGTGAAAAAACTCGAGCTGTGACTTAAAATTGTTCAATTGCTAAATAAAGATGTGCTTTAGTAATTTAAAGTATAGGAGTTTTGAAGATTATTTTATGGGAGTTTTTTGTTGGGCTTTTCTGACAGTGGTTATATTCATTAATGGGTGATTGGAAGAGACTACAAGAATGCTAAGTACTACATTTATGTCTAGAATTTCTGGTTCACAGGGTGGCTGTATTGGGGGGGGGGGCTGGGGATAAGTAAGGAACTAAAAGAAATTTAGAAGAATAATGCCTGGTGTTCTGCCAGCACTAGCCCCTACATTCTGGTATTCCTAATGTAAGACCTTGTCAATCAAAATAAAGGAACTTTCTATTCCTGAAGTCAGCTTGCTTTATATCTGCCCCAAGTGCAGTTAGGCTTGCCATTTTTCATCAAAAAGAAAATAATTTCCAGTCCTGGCTGGCATAGCTCAGTGGATTGAGCACGGGCTGCGAACCAAAGTGTCGCAGGTTTGATTCCCAGTCAGGGTACATGCCTGGGTTGCAGGCCATGACCCCCAGCAACCGCACATTGATGTTTCTCTCTCTCTTTCTGCCTCCCTTCCCTCTCTAAAAATAAATAAATAAAATCTTTAAAAAAATTTCTTGGGGAAAATATTATTTGTATATTAAAAATTCTACAAAAAATACAAGTGTAAAGATTTATGATTATGCCATATCTGTCCTTACATACAAGATTAAAAATATAAACAGACCTCCAGTCATGATGGAAGCATAGGTAGACATACTGCACCTCCTCACTCAACCACAGAGAGAATTACAACTAAACTTCAAAACAACACTGAGAACTTAGAAAATCGAGCAGTATGGAAGTGCAACAACCAAGGATTTAAAGAAGCCACATTCATCCAGATGGGTAAGGGGCGGAGACACAGATGGGCAGAGAGATAAGGAGATGCAGTGTGGTATAGAGGTGGTGGTGGAATGGGCAGTACCACATTCAGGTGTGGTGGATAAAAATCAGGAGCAATACCTTGGGAGCAAGCGATCCCAGGCCCAGGCCAGACCTCATAGCCCAGGGTTGCAACCAACAGGAAGATAAACCCCATGACTTCTGACTATAAAAACCAGTGGGGGTTGGGACAGCAGAAGAAACTGCCAGATTTTTCAGTAGACTGCTTAGAGGGTCCACATAGTCTTAGAATGTGTGCAAACCCACCCACTTGCATTCAGCATCAGGATAACAGCTGTAAGGATGCCAGTTGCATGCCAGGAGTGGGTGAAGTGACTGGAAATGGGATGAGTGTTGAGTAAGCCTCCAGAAGCCAGGCAGTGGCACTGTCCCTTCTCTGAGCTCTCCCCACACACAGCCACAAGCAGTAAAGTAGGTTGCCCCACCCTGGCAATTACCTAAGACTCTGCCCCACACAATATACAGCTGCCTTTTTTACACTATACCACACTACTAAGGGAATCAAAGCAACAGTACCTAATACACAGAAACAACATAAGGAGGCTTCCAAATTTGAGGAGACAGGTATGGCCCAAATGAAAACATAACAAAACTCCAGAAAAAGAACTAAAACAAAACAGATAACCAACCTATTAGATGCAGAGTTCACAACACTGGTAATCAGGACACTCAATGAATTCATTGAGTATGGCAATAGCATAAAAAACACCCGGGAAGAAACGAAGGATACACTAATGAAAATAAAAGAAAAATCTACAGGGGAAAAAACTCAAAGGGAGGAAGGCAGGATTCAGATCAATGATTTGGAACATAAGAAATAAGCATTCAATGAGAACAGCAAGAATTAAACAAGAATTAAAAAAAAAGTATAAGAAGCCTCTGGGACATCTCCAAATGTACCAACATCTGAATCACGGCTGCCAGTAGGAGGAGAGGAAGAACAAAAAATTGAAAACTTATTTGAAAAAATAACATAAGAAAACTTCCCTAATTTGGCAAAGGAAATAGACATACAAGTCCAGGAAGCAGAGAGAGTCTCAAACAGGTTGGACCCAAAGAGGACGACACTGTGACACACAATTAAAATGCCAAAGATTAGAGGTAAAGAGAATCTTAAAAGCAGCAAGAGAAAAGCAGAGAGTAACCTACAAAGGAGTTCCCATAAGACTATCAGCTGACTTCTCAAAAGAAACTTTTCAGGCTAGAAGGGACTGGCAAGAAATATTCAAAGTGATGAAAAGTAAGGACCAACAACCTTGATTACTCTATCCAGCAAAATTACCATTTAGAATGGAAGGGCAGATAAAGGCTTCCCAGACAAGGTAAAGCTAAAGGACTTTATCATCACCAAGCCACTATTACATAAAATG